TGTACCCTTCCCAAGGAGTGACCACTACTCAGCGTGCCACATCCCAGCTCTGGCTTTCTCAGGTACACACAGAGCCAGGAGCATCACTGGTTCCACTGCCAATCCCATTTCTATCTTCCCAAGAACCCACCCAGCTTCTCTCTATTTTTTTTTTCTGTTTGTTGCCTTTTTTCCAGCACCACTGCTCTGACAGTTTGCATTAAGTCTATTAAATCAAAGCCTCCCAAACCCCTTCTTTGAGTCACTGTTTTCCATGGCAATGTTCCATTCCCAATTATACTGCACTGTACTTGGCTGTATTAAAATAAATTTCTGTTTGAGGGGGAGAGAAGCTCCTCACTGACTGGTCTTGGCCCTGTGTGCTCCTCCCTATTTAATTATATTTTACTATTTTCCAAAGTTCATCAGTAAAAATGACTGTTCTGGGTCTGTGGAAGGGATACAGCCTTTGTTTGCCAAAATCTGCCCTTTATTTGTCGCTACTGCACTTCTAGACTTACATATTTCTGATGTTCTGATATTTGAGACACTTTATTGAGAAATTATTTCTATTCACCAGGGTCATTATATTAGTTCCTTTGATTTCCCTTATCAACTGCAGGTTGCTTTTTACACCCAAATATTTTCCACTTGTTTTCATCCATCCCATCATTTACAGTGCTGCATTCTTAGCAGAATTTGCACGTTGAATGTTCAACATTCACACACAGATTTTCTACCCCGCCAACTTCTGGATTAACAGCACATTCTAACAGCAAGAAAAAGAAAAATGAAGTAGATTCTGAACTGAAATCTATCACAGTGACGCAGTCTCATTTTACAGAAAGAGCTGACAAATCCAAAGACTGCTTCTGAGAGGCCAAGTGCCTTAATGATTAAATCTTAAAGCTGCCAAATTGGAAATTTTCATTAGAAAAAATGAGTCTAGAACCCAGTCTCCTGGCAGAAAATGGACTGTTTTCAAAGGAACAGCCCTAAGTAATCTCCACAGACCTGCTGCTAGCTCTTCCTGTAAGACAGCTGTTATTAAATAGTGTTTATAACCCAAATACTATAGAACTGAGAGACTGAAATTGTTAATAAAAATGAATTGAGTATAACTGGCTTTCAAGGGCTCAAACTTGGAAAACCACAAAAGCTTCCTACTGCATAAACAGGAATCTTTATTTTTGTATTTATTCATTATTAATTCCACCATGCTTATACTAGAAATTACCTTGAAACTAAAGATGATATCTGTGGAAGAAGAAAATGAAAGCTAGAGTAAGAAAACTTGGTCCATGTGGTTAAAATATAATTAAAAGCTTAGGCAATAAGCAGCTATCTAATTGTGGTGATTCTCAGTATTTTTTTCTCTCAGGAACTATTTTCTGATTAGTAGCTATTCTGAATGTTGGCACAGAAACAGAAAACAGATTTAGCAATTAAAATACTTAAACACAAAGCAAAAAAACCCCACCCCAAAACCCACAAACTCAAATATGAGCACAAGAGTTTCCTGAAGACATCTTACTCAGGTGAACTGCTCTGGACAGCTTGTGCCATGTGAACCAAAATGAACCAAACCCCACCAAAATGAACCAAACCCCACCAGAGCAAAGAACTCTCTAAGCCTCTGTACAGAATAATTCACTATATGTCCATTCTCAGTTTTGTCTATGTGACTGAATGCAGGATGAGAACTAACTTTTCTTTTTCATGGTTATTATTAATGCAAAATACTCATCATTTTACACTTGTTTCACAGAAGGAATGGTTCCATCCTCCTGCAGACCTCCCCAAATGCCTCTATCTGGACTGTCACAGGCCAGGGATGAGATTTCACCCTTACCCCACGTGGCAGTGATGGCAGGAGGCTGGATGAAGGTCTATGCACCATTTTAGGGCCTTACCCCTGGGAAGGACACGAAGCTAACAGCATCTGAAATTTCATCTTAAAGAAGGAAATGGGTCTCTAGGCTTCCAGGCATCGTGGCTATTAATAAAGTAATTAAATGCAGGTTGTGTGTGTTTTGCATCGAACCAAAAGCAACAACCCCCTTCAGTAATGAGGAACAGAATATATTCAAATCTTTCTAGTCTTTGCCTACACAGAACTGCCATTTATCATTTAGAGAAGGAAAAAAGTGTCACTTTAAGGCCTTATAATTATCCTGCCATAATTCTAACTCCAGGGCATTAGAAATACCATTCTGTTGAAACTCCACAGCAGAAGAAACGCTGGTGGTGGGGTGATACTCATATTATTATTCCTATATTGATGCAAACTGAATTGGCTGTTTATGTTCAAACCTTCTTCAGGGGGCTATGACACAAGCACAGATTTGTTCTGTCCCATTTGTCTTCCTGGAAGAAGTCCAGCTTGCCTGGTGAGAGAAGCAAAGGCTCTGAGGAACTAACACAGGAACTCCAAGCAGCCATGCTCAGGGACAAGGGGGGATGGTTTTGAACTGAAAGAGGGGGATTCACACTGGATAGAAGGCTGGCTTTTTTTTTACACTGATGGTGGGGAGCGATTCACATTGGATAGAAGGCAGACTTTTTTTTTACACTGATGGTGGGGAGCCCCTGGCCCAGGTTGCCCATAGAGGTGGTTGATGGTCCATCTCTGGAAATATTCCAGGTCAGACTGGATGGGGCTCTGTGCAATCTGCTCGAGTTGCAGATGTCCCTTGCAGGTGACCTTGAAAGGTCCCTTCCCACCCAAACCATTCTGTGATCCCATCCCATCAGCTCAAGAGCAGCCTTCACCAGCAGGCCCAGCTACCATCACACCAAAGCAGGACATGGCCAGAGGATAAGGCTGGGGCAAAGTGATGCAGCAGGAACAAGAAGATCCCTCTTTGGGATGAATGTGGATTCCTGTTCCTAGAAGTCCACTTTAATAGCCTTTAAGCAACATTTTACTGATAACTTTTACACAAGGTAAAACTTATGTGAATTTTGAACCTTTCCAACCCTTAATAGCCTTTAAGCAACATTTTATTGATAACTTTTACACAAGGTAAAACATGTGAATTTTGAACCTTTCCAACCCTTACCCCACGTGGGGTGAATGATTACTGCTCAGCTGTTGGGTGGCAAGCACAGGCTCTGATCCCACTAAGGCTCAGTCTTTCCTGTTCCCTGGAGGGCAGGTTAAAGTAGCCTAGTGCTGCAAGAGCTCCACAGCTTTCTTCAGACAGTGACAACCCAGAAGAACACATGCATGGCACCACAGAATGATGTGGGTTGGGAGAAACCTTTAAGCTCATTGAGTCCAACCATTAGCCCAGCCCTGCCAAGTCATAAGAAGCAAAATGCCACAAGAAAAACCCAAACTGTGTCTAAGCAAGCCATGGGCTCAGGAAGCTGAACTTTTAATCACAGGATCATTTGGGTTGGAAGAGACCTTCAAGATCACTGAGCTGAAGCATTCCCCCATCCCTGCCAGGTCCCCACTGCCCCGTGTCCCTCACCCCACATCTCCACGGCTTGGAAACCCCTCCAGGGGTGGGGACTCCACCACTGCCCTGGGCAGCCTGGCACAGCCCTGGACAACCCTTTTGAGGACGAAATTGTTCCTCATTTCCAACCTAAATCTCCCCTGGTGCAACCTGAGGCCATTTCCTCTTGCCCTATCCTGTCCTACATCCCCAGTGGTCCCCACTGAACTCAACAGAGACGGACACCCAAAGAGTTCCTGTGAAAGGGATTTTGTAGTATGCTTAGTGGGACAGGGAAACAAACTCCCAAGGCAAAACCAGACCTCTGTTCTGTTCAGAAAGAGTACCAAGTCTCAGAGGGACAGGCTCTATCAGGAAATGCTCCTCTTTGTCAGCATGACAAGGCAAAACAGCCAGGCCAGGGTTAATAGCTGCTTGCTTGTGACACAAACCACCAAGAGAGCTAAGGCAAAAAAAAAAGCCTTTTTTCCCCCAGGAATGAAAAGAAACCTTTAAAACTCATCAGAAACTGTGAGCAGTATAATATTAGAGAATTATTTTTATATAATTCAGTTTTTGTAGAATTCCTTTCTGTGTATTAAAGACAAACCAGCTTTCTGGGGTTGATGGCAGACTGCTCAGATGCTTCCAGCCCTCCTCCTCTGAGCTGATGGGGTGTAGCTGTGACTGTATCTAACACACGCTCTGGAAGTCAACTGAGCTGCAAGACTGAAACACCACATGGAAGTTTTCCTTCTGCTGCAGAAATGAACACAGTGCCAGCTCTCAAAACCACAGACTTCCTTCAACCAGGAGCAGTTCAATGAAATCTGTATTTTTTGAGCTGTGTCCCCCTTTTATCTTTAAGCAGCACGGAGATAGTAACAGCAGCATCCCTGGTTCCTCTCCAAGTCCTCATTATTCCTGATGGATAAACCAGGAAACCTCTCTCTACACTCTTCCAACTGAAGATACAGTTTATTCAACTGTTTAATTACCAGCTTAGCAAAACTACCATGATAAAGGCAAACAGAGCCTTGGCATTCCCCCCACACTGCCCCCAAAAAAGGTGATGTTGCAAACTTTTTAACTCCTACTATCTGCTCCAACCTCTGATAACACCAAGGGTTTAATGGAAGCATTAAAGAACACACCTATAGCCTGGAAATACACTGCCAGGTTGGCCAGAGCATTTTAGGGTTGAAGCAGCAGAGCATGCTGCAAAAAAAACCCCAATTTATTTGGGCAAGTGACAAAGGCTGAGGTGTGGGCAGGTACAAAAGTGCACGGATTCTATTTAGGGTGAGTGTGTGGATGTTACAGGAAACAAGAGCTGTCACAGGAAGGAGGCCAGGATGATCTTCTCCAGAGGAAGGGAGATGTATTTTAGTCTACCTCCGTTTTTCCTTATTTGTTTGATTTTGGAGCACCTGGATATCAGCACAGAAGAGGCAGACTTTTCATAGTGGTAAACCCCACTTTAAAAGGTAGCTATGTGAACAGAACCCTGTAAAAACCCCTCCTCTTTCCAGCAAGCAGTCAGACACAGGGGTATCCTTCTCGAAGGCAACGTACCTGCTTCAGGACTTGTTTGATTACAGCTGCTACCAATGCTGTTTGGTATCACTGGAGTGGAGGATGCCTGGATTCTCGACTGAGGTGGGTTTGGGTGTAATGAGTTTCCTAAAGCCATTCCTGACTGGGCCAGCATCCCACAGCTCCCACTAGCCTGCATCTGGTTTATTAAACCTGTGAGATGGTTGGTTGTGCCCGGGCTAGTACCGTGGGCAAAGTTAGTGTTTGTGTTCTGGCAGTGCACACCGTCCCCTCGCAGGGGTAAACTCTGTGCCAGCGAGTTCTGGAGACTGCCAGAGTTCATACTGGTGTCTGCAAAATGCATCTGGTTACCAGAGCAAGGTAAAGCAGTACTGGAGCTCCCACAGCCGGTGGTACTATTGCTGCTCATGTGAGAGCTTTGACAACTCATGGACTGAAGTAGCTGGGACATAGAACTGATGGGAAAGGAGCTTTGGCTCTGCTTTCTTATCAAATCAGATCCAGCTTTGGAAACCCCAGAACTGTCCAACTGAGACTGTCTCAGCAAACTCAACACCGTGGTGGTCGGCTGCTTTCTTTTCCTCAGAGGATCTTTTTGCTGAGACATCAATTTATCTCTCAGTGCTGCTCGGCCACTTTGCCCTTCAGTCGTTGGTAGGAGCACGTTGGCAGCAGGAGGGAACATGGTATTTAAAGTGCTATGTCCTTCGTTGTTGCCACCGCTGGCAACAGGTCCAGAATTGCTACTGCTGTTATTGTTGTTACCAGCAAGTTTATTTTGATTTGCTAGCTGTGCTTTGGCTGCTGCTGAGAGTAAACTACTTGCTGGAAAAGAGGCAGCATTGTGCTGGTTCAAGATCTGATTTAAAGGCATGCCCAGCAAACCTGGCTGACTCTTCAAGGAACCACTTCCAGCCGATGCAGTAGAAAAAACTGCATTGTTTGGAGGATTTAATACATTACTCATTCCAGCAATTAGTGGGTTAGGGATCTCCTTGTACTGGTTGAGTCCGTCGTGCTTGGTGGAAGGGCTAGATGGCATAGACGGTCTCGGGGACCCTATCGTTGACCTTGGGGACCTGGGAGGAACTTTAATACCACTACAGGATGACTGTGGCCCTACTGGAGGCAGCAGGAAATTTCCATGATCTGATGATGTGGAAGAAGAACGTGATCTTTGGGGAGAAGCCTCGATCCTTCCAATCCCAGATCCCATCATGTGAACGGGGGACGTCACTGGCGAAGGAGAGAGGGAAGTTGAAGCAGAGTGCTGAACTCTTTGAACGTGACTTCCATGGTTCATGTGACCAGGTTTTACAGTTGGCAAAGGAAGGTTACTTGGCAAAGGGACGACAGCAGGAGGCATGCTTACATTCATCACGGGTACCTGAGAGTGGACGTTTGAGTGGAAAGTAGTTGGGTTAATGATAACGGGATTCTGATTCACTGGTTTGCTAGGAATAGGGTCAAGTATGCCAAGTGGATCCTTTTCTGATGGCAATGGCTTTTTCTGAAGAGCACAAGAAGGTGGGGGAGGAGGTGGGGGTGGCCCTTGGGGCGGTTTATGGTGGAACATTGCTCGTGGTATTTCCATACCGGCTGAAAAATTACACATGGGCTTTTTCATCACCGGGCTTTTCGTGGGCAAGGTTGGGGAGAGAGGTATATTAGTCCTTCCAGCCATTGCACAGGATGACTGTATGGGAGAACCATGGAGCATTACTGACGGTGGAGACAGAGGCGTCCTGTTCATGTGAATAGGGCTGGAGTTGGGTGCTCCATGAAAGGTGGGATTGCTCCTTGTGAAAACATCAGGGCTTCCGAGCGGGTCGGTCCTAGGGGAGATCGAGCCATCCCCGTAGATCTGTGATCCTGATGAAGCTGGACTGGGCATCCCACCGTGACTGCCACGATACGGAGACTTCTGTCCCAGTTCATTACTACCCAATCTCTGCCTAGGATAGACAGAATGAAGTTCTTGTTGCTGGCTTCCAGCCATTTCTTGCACATAAAGCCTACCCATGGCATTAGATGCCCCTATCATCAACTTGAAAGGAGTCTTACATTCTGGCATCACAGAATTTGTAATTCCTTCATGTGATTTATTCCTCATTGATCTTGGAGTCGCTGCTCGAGTAGGAACTACTGGAGTTGCACCTGATATTAAAAACACAACAGTTACTGTTTTGAAATCCAATATCACGCATTTCACTTCAAAACTAACATGTGTGAAAATATTCATCAAGTCTAGAAAGCCTTTTTTTGGCTAAACTTTTGCCTCAACAGAAATAATACCAAAATCACCAACAGAACGATGCGTGCTACTCTACTACACAGGACAGATTTTAACTCCACATTCCTTGTGAAGACTGTGTGAATGTGGACAACTTTCAGTCTTCTCCCTTCCCTTTTGTCTTTTCTTTCTGCCATCTCCAGTGTCCTGCTCCCGAATCTCCAGCACCCCCACTATGGCTGGGAGCTGGCAGGAGGAGCAGGGATTGCTGTCACAGGGAAAAGGAGCCTCTGGCACCATCTATTGAGAACAGGAGGAACAAAGCCCAACACGGGCTCAGACTCCTCTGCACCCTACAGGGAAAAAGCTCCTGCCCCAAAGGCTGTCCCTGATGAGGATGAACAGGGAGCTGTGCCACACGACTTTGGCCCAGACTTCTCTTCAGCCAAGCCCCTCTCTGCAGAGACCCCAGTGACCTGGGCAGGGCAGGAGGCAGCTTCTCCACTGCTTGTTGGCATCACGGGCACCCAGTTCCAGCCCTCAGGGCTAACCTGTCCCTGGGACTCTCCTGTATTGCTTTACTGAACCAAGGCTTTACCTGCAGCTTCTGCAACAAGCTTTGCTTGGGCTGAAGATGCTAAAATTGAAGGGGCTTAACCTTCTGTGTTGGTTTCAGGATAAAGGCCTTGGGGATAACCCCTCTACAGTGGAAGAGTTTCCTGTAAATCCCAGTTTTGAAGACCAGGCCTTCCTATGAGCAGGAGACCACTTCCCTTTTCTGCCCACTCATATCACTTTTATTTTAAAAGATTTTTTCCCCACTGTTTTACTTGTGCAATACCATCACAAGCAGCTCCACGTCTGGCAGACTTTCTGCCAATTTTGCTGCTCTGGGAATTTGTAATTCAGCTCGGAGTGCCTGGCATGCAGCCTCTGAATATGCAAACTTAAACTTGAATAATGAGCTAAAGATTCTATGTTCAAACGAATTCAGAGGTGCCTTTAAATTCTGCTGCTCACAAGAACCCGACTCCCCTCTCTCCTCCAGCCTGGCCATAGCAGACAGATGGCACTGACAATCCTGCCTTCATCCTATTTGCTCAACCAGCTACATCATGACAGAAACAAACATATTACCTTTCCCAAAATACAACCAAAGTCTCATTTAGGGGACAAATCTCAAGACTGAACTGCAAAACGAAATATGTACGAGATCCCCTCACGTTGAATGTTGGACCTAAGCAAACAGCCAAATGTAAGTGTGTGTGAATTAAAAGACATTTCATTGACAAAGGCAATTTATTAGGAAATTTTCTTCTCCTCTTAGTGCAAAACATTCTGGTCAACAGAGAAGGTAAGACCACAGAACTGTCACTTGTGCCTTTAATATGTAGCTGGCTTTACCTCCTGCATTTTGCTAATTTTTTGGAAAAAGGGAAATGGAATTTCACTACTCCTCATAAAGAATTAAAAAAATTAATAAGGAAAATGCATTGTGATTTGGGAAATTGCACTACTCTTTTTAAAAACACCAACTACCTTGCAAAAAACCAATTCAAACCAAGCTTTAAAATCATACACAGCAATCTGAAAATGCAAGAGCACGTCAGTACTATGAGCAGCACTGGGATCTTAGCACTGCCTGTGCACCTGAAATTTATTATTTACTTTTTAATCTTAGAATTTCCCACTTAGAAGACAAGCTACAGAGCAGGCAGCAATTAGCCAGCTCTGGTTACAGCCATGGAGGGGTGCAAAAGATCTCTTAGATTATTGAGGGCTGGCTCTCAGAAGTTACACCCATCACACTATACAACCTTAAAGCTCACACCATAAAACTCACCAAGCTCTGTCTTAAAAGTAATCTTCACTCCTTTGTCCTAACCATTTGGATTTGAAAGACTGCTTCAGAACCCTCCCTTGCAACCCTTACAAAGTACCTGATTTTCTGTTCAACCTTCCATGCAACTCTGGTTTTGCAGCTGCTTCTTTCAGTGCTAATTTTACCCTTTAGCTTAAGGAGCTTTATTTTCTAGTGCTGATTCTCCTGATGACTTTATTGACTCCTCCCAGCCACCATGTTGCTGGGTTGAGCAAGCTAAACACTTTTAGATGACTTTGATAAAGCAGGTTTTGGAGTTCACCAGGAGAAAAGCCTCTGCTCTGGTTCAGCCTGAGTGCTGCTAGTGAGAACATGGGCATGGGAAGGCAGTGAGCACACCACAGCATTTGTGCTTCTCTCTGAGTCTCATTGATCTGCACCATCCTGCCATCTGGTACTGCTCACAGGCATCTTTGATCAGCTATGATATCACAGAATCACAGATTCTGGGGCTTATCTAGGGCTTCTTTCCTCAATAATTCAGAGCTAATGGCTTTTTTTCACTAGTCCCCAAGTGAATAACCTTACAATTGACAGGATTTGTTGCTACACCTTTTCTTTCACTCCAAGCCTCAATGATGCTCCAGATCCTCAACACATTTTGAGCTTCTTGTTTTGAAAATACCATCAACAAATTACCTCATTTTTTTTTGTTGATGTGGATAATTAAAATGCTAATCCAGGTTGCTCCCCAAAAATAATCCTTGAGAAATTACAGTGGAGATCTTCTCTTGCTGCATATTCTGCCTTGCAGTACAATTTCCCATTTAGCCAAGTCCTTAGCCACATTCTAATCCCTTTATAATCACTTTATTCTGCTTCTCTAATTTCCCATGTGACAGAATATCAGACGTATTACTACAGTTCCAGAAGATGAGAGCTAATGTATTTTCTTTGTCTAGAACAATCTGATATGTTTTCCAAGAAAATCATGCTCTTAGTCTGGGATGATGACCTGCTTTTTAGGCTCATTTCCTATCTCCCTACATCTCTCTAAACACCACCTCATTTTTTTCCTTGAATCTGTTTACTATTGCACACGTAGATACATTACACTCCTGGAGGTGTTTGTGCTTAGTAATGACATGTGTGCAAAATCAGGTAATTAAATGATTCTGCATGGTTTTACTCACTTGTTCCACCACCAGGACTAGTTAGGACTAGTGAAGGATGTGGTGCTTCCATGCTTTTATGAAGTGTAGCCACAGCAATAATCTTCCTTTTATGTATGCATAGTTTGGTGACATCTTCATCTGCTTTAACATCTTCAGCAGTTCTCTGCTTCACAGCAGCTCCAGGATCAAAATTAAAGACCTGAGAGTAAAAATTCCAATGTTTAAAATAATGATTACAGGCAGCAAACTCATCAAATATATCTAAACCCAAATTTTCACATAAAATTGGATTTGCCTCTGTTCCTTAGAGCTACTCCTACATTGCCCAAGACATAACCTTTACAGTATGTTTTGGAATTACAAACAAAAAGTGAATATATTTTTAATAAGTAGACAGCCATGGAAGTTGTCACCTAGCAAAAGATGTTTTGACACTCCTCAGTATAAAGGACAGGGAGAAAAACCAAAGTAAAGGACCATGTGTGGTTGAGACTGGTCTGTGATTAAGAACAAGAGCTTACAATTTGTGTATAGATGTAAAAATGGTGAAGCTGATACTGAAGCTATCATGTAAGTGAGTGCCTTGCTCTGTTTCTCACCTGTTAACATGATGCTGCTGATGGCAAGCTTCCAGTTTAATAGCAAAATGTTCAAACAGCACAAAAAATGAGTCAGCCTGTCCACGAGGGCAGAAGGGAGATTAATTTTCTATTTTATGGTAAATCCTTGGGTGTGTACCACTTATCTCATATATATGCTCTGAGCAGAGCTTAAGTCATGGCATAGCCCATCAGCTGACACAGGCAGCTCATTAGGATTAGAGCACAGAGATCCAAAATGATGCTTTTCTTTACCTTGGGAAGAACAAGAGGACATTCTAGGCCACACTTGCATGTTCCATCAGTCAGCAAGTAAGTCTTCACCTGCTCCAAGCAGGATAATAAAGACCCACTGGGACTGCAAAGGAACAGAAATGATGAATACAAGCTCTTTGATAGGTCATGACTTCTATCTACCACTCTAACAGCTCACACAGGCAGCGTTTAAAATAACACAGTGAAGATTTCATATTTTATTTCATAGTGCTTCTTGCTTTTAGTAGAGACCTGAGATGATACTTATCAAAAACAGCCCCTCAAAAACATTTTAAAGGAAGATTTTACTACAGAGAAACTCACACAGCAAGTGCAGAGAAAAGAAAGCAGCTGAGATTATTGGCATTTCCCATTCACATCAGAGTCCTGCTTGAAAGCCTCAACTACACTAGGATTATTTTCTCCCTCCTCTCTCTTATAAAGTGTAACACATAGGCAGAGTGCAGTCCCCACAGACCTCCTCCCTCCCCACCACATCACTGCAGTTCCACAAAGCCATGATGCTCATCTGTACTTTTTAGGACCTCATTTAAAAAAGAAAAAAAACCTCTACAAACGTGTGTTTCAAGAGGTATGAGAGAAGCCACCCAGAAAAGGGGGCACAGTAACAAAACTGCTGCAGCTGGGTCTCTTAGCTGCATGAACAGTTTGGTTTCATTCAGCTGGAATTTCCACCTCTCCCCTGCAGTGAGATGTGCTGCACCAAGAAGCCAGTCCAGGGAGTTCCTGATAAACTGCACCCAGGTTTCTCTGACTCCCACCAGAAAATCATTATCTCCATATCCAAAAATAGGAGACTGGAAATTCTGTTATGGCAAAATCACTCATTCAGAAGAGGGAAAAGGTTGTCATGTCACAAGGCTCTAACTTCCAGATCATTCTTTATTATTTGGCCATCTAAACTGTTTATCAGGAAAAGAGTACAATAATTTATGAGGATGGGCTATAACACTGGTTCCCAATGGCAGCTGTTAAGTAGTCCTTATTTTAACAAAAACAACTTCAGTTTGGATCACAAAAACAGCCAGGAGTCAAAATTCCAAACTATGACAAACTTTCCTATTTAAAACCCAATGTATAAACACCTAATTCTGCACATAAACTACATCACATCTAAAGCAACATCATCAACTGACATTTAAAGTTATGCTGACAGCTTAAATAAGTAATTTTTTTTGCCAGACTTGCTCTGAAATAATTATTTTAGAGGGAATTGCCCAGGTTGAATATGTGTATCAGTAAAGTGCAATCTATAAATAATGGTCTGGGTATGAATTGATAGATAGATCAGAGAAGCAAAACCTTCCCTGTCTCAAATTGAAAGACTTGGGGAGCAAGGGGAAGTGCTCAAAGACCAGGTTGGATGATGCTTTCAGCCTGGTCCAGTGGGAGGTGTCCTGCAGGGGGTTGGAACTAGGATAATCTTTAAGTTCCTTTCCAACCCAAACCATTCCATGATTCTACAATCTCCAGCACTGGGTGACTGCTTTGGACCTTCCCACCCTGTCCTGACTCTGCACAGGAGTGACTGCTCTCCCCAGGTGAGGTCCATACTTGCAGATACAACAGGTTCCCACAGGAGAAACTCAGAGAGGTACTTGCTCTAGACTACCCCACCTACATACAAAATCTCTACTGACCCTTTTCCTGATGCTTAAAAACCTTGTGCCAAACACTCCCCAGAGGGGATATGCTCTGGAGTCAAGATCCCAGTTTATTTACCCCAGCCAAAAAGGTCTATTGAGCAGCAGGGGTCAAGCTATACCATCAGAGCTCATTTTGGTTCCTATTTCTGCAATTTTAAATAAACCTTCCTTGGCATGCAGTTTGTCTGGGAAATCTGGACACACCCCCCCCAGTTCCAGCACAAGGAGATACTGGGGCCTGGAAACAACAGTGAGAGTAAAGGGAAGTCAGGATGCTCAGCACTCAGCAGAGAGCACAGATTACTCTGCACCAGGTGGGATTCAGCATCCCTACTGTGCATATATGCAAAGTTATTTGTCAAAAAAAAGACAACTAAATTTTAAAAAGGCCCAGTTTTTCTGTTTCTGCCTTGCTCCTGGGCATATCTATGGAATTGCAAAGTATCTTCTGTGTGCACAAATTTCCTCAGGCTTCTGTACTGCAAAGGATAATCCACAGCCTCCTTTATATCAAACTATCATTTTTTGTTCAGCACTGAGGTCATAAAATCATTTATGTTGGGAAAGACCTTTAAGATCACCCAGAAGTTTTAGGCCTCCCAAAGAAACAAAAGGAGCAAATTAGAAAATATATTAGGACCTTTTACTGACAGTTGTGGAATCTGTTGTTATTAACAAGGTTTGCTCAGTTTGTTCCACTGATTATTCACAAACAATCAGCTGAAGAAGAGAACTGGGTCCTACTTTAAATCAGCAGCACTGTTTTACTAAGAACAGCACTGAGACTCAACTCAGTGCTTTTAATAGGTAGTAAAAACTAGTTAATGAATGGATTTAATCCAAAGCAGCTGTTGACAGTTGACAGAAAATCATGTGTGCTCTATAAGGAAGTCCAAATAGAATGAGTCTTTATTCAGCTGGGATCATCTATTCTAGTTAAATCATGTCAGATCTTAATATATACACTAATTTTCCCTTGGATAGCTTTTGAGTCAATATTGCGTGACCTTTCATTCTCTCAATAACTGCTGTGCATGTTTTCAGGGTGGTTGTTCAGAAGGGCAGTGTAGCACTGAGCAGGTTATCCAGAGAGGTTGTGGAAGACCTAGGGGTGCTGGTTGATGAAAAACTCAACCTGAGCCAACAATGTGTGAGTGCAGCCCAGAAAGCCCCAACCCCAGCAGGGTGGGCAGCAGGGCAGGGAGGGGATCCTGCCCCTCTGCCCCACTCTCACGAGACCACACCTGGAGTGCTGCATCCAGCTCTGGAACCCCCAAGACAAAAAAGACATGGACTTGTTGGAGAGGTTCCACAGGAGGGTCATGAAGATGGTCAAAGGGCTGGAACACCTTTCCTGTGAGGGCAGGCTGAAAGAGTAGGGGTTGGAACCCAACCAAGCCACAAAAGACCTCACTGTGACCTTCCAGTATCTGAAGGGGGCCTATAAGAACGCTGGGGAGGGACCTTTTACAAGGCCTTGTAGTGACAGAAGAAGGTTCAAACTGGAAGAGGGGAGATTTAGATTGGAAATTAGGAAGAAGTTCTTCACTCTGAGGGTGATGAGACACTGGCCCAGGTTACCCAGGGAGTTTGTAGATGCTCCATCACTGGAGGTGTTCAAGCCCAGGTTGGATGGGGCTTTGAGCAACCTGGTCTAGGGGGACATGTCCCTGCCCATGGCAGGGGAATTGGAACTAGGTCTTTAAGGTCCCTTTGAACCCAAAGCATTCCATGATTGTGGTTTTTCCTGCTATTCTGCTCTGTGCCTTTCACTAAGTAAGAAGGTAAGAGCTGTGGACCATACTAACTGCTCTTCCTTAATCAGAACAGCTTACAGGAGGCAAGCAGAAAATGAACCACTAGATGAGGAAGCAGTACCTGGGCAAAACTGGCAAGAGGGCAGAAATAATACAATCTTCCCCAAGCCTCCCCAGGCAACTGGTAAGCTTGATCAACGGGGTCAATTAGAATGAAAAAAGTGTTTTGTGTGTGGCTTTTCAGAACAGAACTATGAAGAAAGCCCCTCTGAATAAAAAGATCATCTACAGAAAGTAGAAGAGGAAGTAGCTGTCATAGTGATACCAACTTTTACTAGCTTATAAATGTAAGACACATGCTTGAAGCAGGAGCACAAATTTCGTGGCCTGCTTCTTACAGCTGTTGAAAATAAAGTTCAAAAGCAGGTAGGATCCTCAGGTATTTAAAACTCAGCAAAGCAGTACATGTCCTGATGCCTGGATACAGAGATGATAGGAAAAAAACCCAACCAAGCCACAACTTTTTCTTTCCCATTGATTTTTAACTAAGGCAGGCCCAGTAAATTATAAGTGTAATGAGAAATCCAAGGGGAAGGTGATTTATCTTTGACATGCATATCAGTGACATGGATTCTGGTTGATTCTGCTAATTGAGAATATAAACAAGAAATCCTGGAATGCGTTTGATTTTTTATGGTAGTTTAGTGTAAAATTGGAGTAGGCTTTGACTCATGAAAGAATTTTGTATTGGTAATATAGAAAATGTTGTAGAGAAGTGGTTTAATCACAAAATAGTGGAATAAGATTAAGCAAATAACAGACTGAGACTCATTTAGAGTTCTGTGATGTAAACCTGATGTACCCATATTTTGTTAAAGCAAACTTTGATCTTTTTGCCAATAACATTTAATTTACAGTCTGTGTGTCTGAACACATTCATTTAATAGTAATTTCCATGCATTTCTTTGTGACTGTTCCAGGGCAAAGCAAAAAAATCCAATAAGCTAGCAAAATAAACAAATAAAACACCTAAAACTTTGCATGTAGGTTTGTGCTCCTGTGTTTTCTACATGAGAGATGTGAAGAATCCATAGAAGTAAATCTTGCTGGAGAATGTCAGTGGGACTGAACACAGAACCTCCACAGGGCCTATAAGAACTCATGTTTTCTGTAGCTACTAAGTAGTTCCATCACTTAAATGTCCTTTCAAAAGAGAGCAAGTGAAACACAAAAGTATACTGGGGACCTGGAACATAAACCCAGGAAAGACTCAGGGAGGAAGAGCTCCAGAATGTCAGGTTCACATTACACAGCACTGCATGAAGCAGGCTGGAGGCTTGCTGCTGTCAGGAGAAGAAAGTCCCACTCCACCCTACTTGCCATGAACTGTTTTTGATGCTTGACCACTGCTCTGAATTCCACCAGCAAATGCTCCTGGAAAAAGCCTGTGCTGGTGCAAGGAAATGCAATGACCATGCATCTGGGAGCAGGCAGAAGCCAGCAGAGATTTCTCATCATCTTAGATGTGGTGTATGACTAAATCTCTGGTTAGAGTCATTGTAAAAGGTTTGAAGAATAAAGACATTATTATAAGACTAAAGATATTATTATATATTATAAAGACTAAAGTGAGGTTAAATCTGCTTCTGCTCAGCTTGAAAATCCACATGACAACAGTAAGTAATAAAGAACTATTCATGCCTACAGCAAAATGTATAGTCAGGATTATCAAATATTCAAGACCAAGCAATATTTGATTTGAGAGTATGTTAAGGGCATGCAAATGGCACGACTGACATAAGTGGACTCCACTAATACGAGCAGAAAAAAACGATCCTGTGCTTCCAAAAAACCCAGCTCTTGAAGTTTCTGAGTACCAAAGATCAGCTGAGTCATCAATTTACCACACCTTGTGGCAAAGCTACACTGAACACAAAGCCAGCAACCCCCTCAAGAACCTTACCTGATATAGAGCACTCCACTTTGGTCCACCCGTCGCTGCCAACCAACGGGAACTTGCACTGCTGGTGGCCCTCCATCCGTGTCCCCTCCGTCACACTCCTTTCCACCATTCATTTTTCTGTTTCTGTTTATGAGTCTTCAAAGATATCAACAGTAAGATGATATCCTTTTACTACATGTCATCATGGCCTCCCAAAGCAGGCCATTCAGCACACCTTTCCCCAAATCGTACAAAGTGCATTGGGAGGCTCCAGCTCAGTTTGAAACCAAGTCCTTAAAAGTGGCCATTTTTGTTAATGAGTCACTTTCCCATTATAATCCACATTAAATATGCAATGTTTAACTCCTTATAGATTCATAAGGATGGACTATATAGATAAAAATTAGTGCTTCCAACTTGGGAAATTCATAATTCACCAATCCTTTGTTACCTGTCAGAAAGGAGAATGGGGAAAAGGAGAATTTCTAGTTCAACAGCATGGCTCCAAGCTTGATGACTGTCTAAGACAACTTGTATTTTGTGAAAGCTCGTCTCATTTTTATAAATATGAGTCAGATCTAATACCTCCAGGTATTATACCCTTTATATGCCACATTCTTTTTGTTTTCTTTTTATCTTCCATTCATTATCCAAGTTGTCTTCTTGAGTTTCTTTCATGACTCCCTGGCTCCAATAAAACAGCCTGAAAAAGAGAGAGACAGAAAACACATGAGGCATTTTCTCAAGTCTTTCAGAAGTTCAGGAACTTGTGCAGATGTATATACAGCTGTATCCATGTACAGAGCTTAGGATCAACATTTGAAATGTCCATGGAACCATCAAAACTAGGCTCAGGGTAAATATAATCCTGCCAGGATGCTTTATTTGTATGTGGATGCAACATAGCTACATCTTAAAAGCTACAAGTGTGCAACTGCTATTAAACAGTTAAGGTACAGTTTGGGTGAATTAAATGATGTATCTTTTAACTGACTAGTTTCACAGATGCTTCTGTGCAGAATTATCAACAGATGACTAGCTCAACTAATGTCCTTTACAAAGTGTTTGTAAAGCTGAATGAACTTAATGTGAAGGAAGCTGCTTCTAGGGTTGGTAATATCCATAAAAATTGAAGCCCCTGCATTTAGACTCAATTGAATAATCATCTTACAAAAGAATTTCATAATAAAAAAAGCCACCATCAATGCACTGATCTCAGAATACCTATGAAACAATCTGGATATCATAAGTAGTAATTCCCCCCAAGTGATCTTCATGAAAGAAGTTTAGAATGACACAAACTGTGTTATTCCCCCAAAAGAGCTTTTCAAGTTGACCAGGTGAGACTTAACTCTTGAGACTGGATGTTTTAAGGTGAGACAAACACAGAACATGGGATTCAAATAGTAAGTAAGTAAAAAAAAAACAGCAATCCTCCTCAATTACTCCAATGTGAAATGGGATTGATGCTTATTGTAGTAACAATGCTAAGAGGTTTGATTTGGAATGGCATGGCAATTCTGCCTTATTCCTACTACAAATGCTATGTCAACATTTTAATGTTAAAATAATCAATATTACTATAGACCAGATTGATTTTAAGAAGAAAAGGATTTTCAGGTAGTAATGGCACATAAAGACTTAGGCTCCTGCAAGATTTTTGGGGTGCCAACACCACAATTACACCTATATTTAATAGTAACAACCTCTCCTTCCTTCCAGTCCATGAAAGAAGACTCCAGAGGCATAAACACAGTCCCCAAAAATATTCCCTGAAGTGCACTTAAGCAATACATTCTCTTTCCATGTGCTACTTACAGATGGGAAGTTCAAAATGCTACACAAAGTAAAACCCATGGTGTTTATAAGGATGTGGACTAGTAAGGAGCTGGCTGGACATACCCTGCTGACTGAAGTGCTGAATATGGGAAGAACAGTGATTTTCAGAAAAAAAGAGTGTGATTTTCTGGAGGATGAAGCCTTCTAGAACAGCCTGGCACTGCTTTGCAGGGATCTGTTTCAACGTTCTAATACTCTGGAGATTTGGAGAGTGCTTGGCAACAGTTCAGGAGTCTCAGGTTCTCAGTTTAGAAGTTTTGGTGTTTGATTGGTTTTATCCTGATTTAGAAGGTAGAAGATGATGTTTCATCAAAACCAAGGCAGAATTTACCTTCAAGTTTCAACTTTGTTGCTGAATGCTGCATTGGGATTTTTATTATATACCACACTAAAATAGGGAAATAATTCCCCTATTATTTTTAATGCCAATTAACTTTTTCTAATACAGTAAAATCAGAAAACACATAGTGAAAATGCTGGAAGCACACAGTGAAGAGCAGGTTGTCATCTCCTAGCCCAGTTGCTGTGGCCAGTGTTGCTATTTAGGGCAATGGCACAATGGATCCATTAGGAGAAAACAACCATCATCAATTTCTGGTTTTGCACAAGCAGCAAGAGATGCTCTGAGGCAACCTTCTGTTTCTACTGGTTCTGCAGTGCCCTGTCTCAGCCAACACCCTGTTCCATCACCACTAGAGCCCCTACCACCACCTAATCAGGTAAACCACTTTTCCCTACTGCACATAGCTTGAAATAGTGCTAAAGAGGCAAAAGAACTTATTTAATTGCTTTAGCTGTGAAAAATACTTAAATATTTTTACTCAGTACAGTGAAGTGGTTGAGGGAGGGGATTCTTCCTCTCTACTCCACTCTTGTGAGACCACACCTTGAGTGTTGCATCCAGCTCTGGAACCCCCAACAAGAAGGATGTGGGCCTGTTGGAAAGGGTGCATAAGAGGGCCATGAAGATGGTCCAAGGCCTGGAACACCCCTTCTATGAGGACAGGCTGAGAGCTGGGGTTGGAGAAAAGAAGGCTCCAGGAAGACCTCATTGTGACCTTCCAGTATCTGAAAGAGGCCTACAAGAAATCTGGGGAGGGACTTTTTACAAGGGCTTGTAGTGGCAGGAGAAGGGGCTGGGTTCAAACTGGAAGAGGGGAGAATTAGGTTAGAAATTAAGAAGTTCTTCACTCTGAGGGTGGTGAGACCCTGGCCCAGGTTGCCCAGGGAAGCTGTGGATGCTCCATCCCTGGAGGTGTTCAAGCCCAGGCTGGATGGGGCTCTGAGCAACCTGCTCTAGGAGGTGATGTCCCTGCCCATGGCAGGGGCCATGGAACTAGATGAGCTTTAAGGTCCCTTCCAACCCAAACCATGTGATGATTCTATAAAAACAGCTGCTTTGATCATACACTATGAAGTTGACTGTGTGATAACTTTCCTTGAGATGCATTACAACAAAAAACTGTAAACTAACACAAGGATTTGAGTGATGCAAAGAACAAAACCAAGCTGGAGCACAGGTGTGATGATCCATTTCCCACTCCTCCCCAGGCACAGCAATACTTCAAACACCACACTCAGCAGTGTGCAGGGAACAGTGAGCAATGCCACCCACGTCACCCAGGGCTGACCTTCCATCTGCTAATTTCCTGTGCTCAGATGCAAGCTGGGGGCTGTGAGGACACACCAGTGTGCCCGTGTGGAATGAACTGCAGAAAACATGGGTAAGGTTCCCTGGAAGCTTCTAAGGAGATGGCCAATCTGTATGACACTAGCCATGTTTTATAGGAAATTGCTTATGGAAGTGGGATTTCTTTCACTAAGCCCTGCTCTGGGTGGATTTCCACTAACTGCAGGAAATAAAGCTCCCACTACATGTTGTAACCATTGCACGTCTCTACTAGGCATCAATGACAAAAGTTTTGGTCCAGAAATCCTTCACTAAACTGCATGTGCAGAGCTGCAATGTAGTATTTTATTTAACCACATAACCCCACAGGGAAGTTAAGCAGAGCAGAGGTGTCTCCAAGAAGAGTTAAACCTTGGAAATCTGGTTCAACAAAGCATGTTTTTTTTTTGCATTGAAAATGCAAACCATTTGCATTATCTCACTAAGTGGTTATCAGCCAAAGAGAAAATGGAGCTAAGGAAAACTGCAGTGAAAAAAGGAGATGACAGTCACCCAAACCAGGCTGGGTCTGGCTCTTTTTCTCCCTGCTGCTGGCATAGGAGGGTTTTATAATACAATTTATACAATAAGGCAGACTAGATGAGAATCACAGAAGGTTTGGGCTGACAAGGACTTTTCAAGGTCATCTAGTCCAAGAGATGACAGGGAGCAGGGACATCCCCAGCTAGAGCAGGTTGCTCAGAGCCCTGGCCAACCTCACCATGAAGATGATCTAAGAGCTAGATCACCTCTGACCACAACAGAAGAGAAGCTGCAGGTTTAAAGGGACAGTGAGAGGGGACAGTGGCACCGCTCTGTTAGGTGTGCCCAACTGTTCTGTGAGACAAGGACACTTCAACCCCAGCAGGGCTCAGTCTAACTGAATGCTCTGACTCTCAGAGCACCTGAGTACTCCAATCTCTACATTTCTTATCTGTCCAGAATCTTCCAACCTGGTTTTATAGAAATCCCATCTCCTTTGGTGTACCAGTTTCTCCTTCTCCATCATCACAGTATCCTAGCTGAAGCACTTTGAATTGAAATAGAAAGTATTTGGATTTTGGAGCAAATCCAAAGTATTTTGGACACTGGATTCAGTCCAAAGGCCTGATTTTCATGAATCCATGAAATAAATACCTCTTCTGTGTAATCTCCTAACAACTCCAGACAACTCATGTTATCTCACCCTGAGTAACACAACTTTCCACATCTAACTCTATTACTTCTTCTTTCCCATGTGGCAAGACATGCTGTTTAGATTTGTTTTGCTGTCCACTTCCATTATAATATGCCTAAAAATATTTCATTGGAGAATTATGAAAAAACTACACTCCACTGTCTTCCCCCTTTAGCCCCCTCACACAACCCTTCTCTCCCCTCTGGAAATTTTCTCCTTCATTTTCATACGCTGAAAGTATGTTTTCAATTTTTTAATGCCACTGTCTCACTTTTTGAACATTTGGATTTTAGGGAGCCTCTTTGCACACTCACCTGTTTACTGTTGTAAGTTTTTAGACAGGTGGTGAAATAGAAAACTTGGTCCAAAGTAAAAAGAATTTTAGAGACAAATAGTCTGGATTCAGATCTACCATACACAATACCAATAAAAATATAACATTTATTTTA